AAAATTCTCGTGTCACAATGTTCGTTCCCATACTCCTCCGAAACCGCTTGACCGATTCTCATGAAATTTTTTATGCATATTCAGTAAGCCTGAGAATCGGCTACTATCTATTTTTCATACCCCTAAGTGATTAGGGTTGTCCACCCCTAACATATTTTTTTTTATTTGGACTTTTTTTGTTGTTATAATTAGGTATTATGTGGTTGAATGAGGTTTTGTTATTTTAATTATATATTCCCTCAACGTTCACAGCGCTACATGCCTCTTTCACTCATCTACCACATCCTTACAAACTTACAATAAGTTAGTTTTTTTTTCTACACTAGAAATTCCCTAGAAATCTTATATATGGCCAAACAATGTTTGCCGGGTCAGCTAGTCACTTTATATAAATGCGCTCATATCATGTAATAGATACAAAATTTTTCAAGTAAAATGTAAGTAATACGTGTTTGTACAATGATCAAAAGTAATACGTGTCCACTATCAACTTCCACGATGACCGGATAAATTCAGTCAAAATTGCAGAATTTGGGTTATCACTTGTCGTAAGGGCGTGTTGAGAATACACAGTTAAGCTGCTTTGAGACTACGCTATGCTATAGTGCCAGTATAGCAGCCTATACTTAGCCAAATAATATATAGTACAGTACAGTGTGAACGTGTCCATAACAATGTATAGTGGGTGATATTGTTGTGCTATGAGCTATACACTATATGCTATTATATTATAGCGTAGTCTGAAAGCAGCTTAAGGTTGTTTTTTGGTTGGATGGGTGGACGAGCTCAAGGCTCACCTGGTGTTAAGTGGTTATCGGAGCCTATAGACATAAACTTAACGTAAATGCCGCCTCTCACCTTGAGACATGTGTTCAAGGGTCTCACTTTTAATAGTACAACGGCTGCCCAGCCCTCCAACTTTAAGCCGGAAATTGAGAAGATGCTGATATTAGAGCTTCAGTTGTGTCTATTCCCACCTTCCCTTAATCTTACCTTGTGGGCTTCTTTAGAAAAGTACAAGCTCTTTGGAGGCTAGGATAATCTGCAATTTGAACTTCGATCTCAAGTCTACGGTGATCTCTCAAAAACAAGTTGTATCGTGAGTTCGTATACTGGTCCTAGTAACAATAATATGGGTAGTTTAAAATCTAAAAAAATCACGCTTAAATGGCAAACCGAACTAACAATTTAAACCTTTTTTTATTCTGTTGAAACTGGTCGGGGTATTAGACGAAGTTATAAAATTAGTGCATTGTCATTGGCTCTTGATCCGTGTGAAAATTTTCAATTTAATCGGACCTCTTGAAGTCTGTGGAAATTACGTTCATCCATTACATACATACAGGTATACCCAGCTAATAAAAGCGTGTTAAAAATTAACTATAGAAATAGAGTATTTTAAAGTTTAAATTCAATTGGCTACAAGTCAAACGTTTATAACACGAATTAAAACACAACCCTACAAGCATTTATTGTCATGTGTGATTTAAAGAGAAGCATCCTTAGATAATCTGGGAGCGGGGATTTAGAAAAAAAAAAACGGTAAAGGTACAAATTGGAAACAGACTGACTACCTATCAATTTTTTTAATTTAATTGAAATGCATTCCAAAGCGTCGTAACTAAGTAACTCTCAGTTTAACCGATAAAGCTGTTTCCATTTCCAAAATATAAGCGACTTTTTGTAATTTTGGAAGAAAAAAAATCTAAAACACGTCGATTGAGTCACGTAATTGCGGTCCAAACGAAGTGTCGGCTGCTTCAAAGGAGACAATACGGTCATGCTTCCGAATTGAGCTACCAAATAGTTTTTAATACCTTAAGCATTGAAAATTACCTTTAATGGATGATGGGTTCCTTTACTTTTTATGGCAGATGGATGAACGAGCTCACGGCCCGTCTCGTGTTAAGTGGTTACTTCAAGACTTGAGATTTGTCTCAAATACGGCTATTTTTGTTCACGGCGGAAATAGGCAGGGTGATGGTTGTACCTACCCGTGCAAGCTCAAACAAACCGCCTTACTACCAGTGATAGGTAACGTATTTTTTGGCGTGTTTGATTTTTACTGCGCGTAATCCTTCATCGTGGAAGCCATTCGTGAGGAAGAATTTAGTTGCGATTCCGATTTGGTGGTAGGTTCAGCAGTTATTATCGTTTCTCAGGCTGAGCCCCGTGAGCCAACGAATCAAGGCGAACCCAGAATAGCACCTCGAGGCTACCAGCAGAGAGGTAAAAAAAACAAGCACGTCCTAGCTCAAAACAATAGACCGTACAATAATAGACGTGGTGTACAGATCTGTGTGCAAGTTTTTTAACATTCTCGATAGTTTTTTTTTTTTACTACCTATGCTGATAGCGTTGAGAGGCTATTTCAGCTTCGTCCTAACGTTTGTAGGTGAGCTCACGGGGCTCAAACCGGAGAGTTTCTAACACTGACCCTAGCAAGAGCAGTGCTTCGCAGAATCTACCACCGGATCGGAAACGCGACCCACTGAGAAGATCCGGCGAGAAACTCAGTGGGCTGTGTCTGTGGGTTAATTGGCTCGTCGAGCCCTTTGTCGCAAGCGACGGGTTCGACGAGGACGGTGACCGGTGCTTGTGGTGCCTAAAAGCACCGTTAATGGATCAGGAGGATCCGTAATGACGTGCTTTGGGCAACGTCGACGGTTTACCATTCGGTCTACTGGGTCGGGTATGTAGTTTCCAGCGGCCACGATGAGAGGGTTCTCATGTCGTGCCGTCTTCTCAAAATGGCGCTGCGATGCCGACTGTAGATACTCTCGATAGCGTAAAAGTTAACACAAATTTGTATGCAGTTGGAACAGCGTACCTAGCGGCGAACGTAGGCAAAAGTTCCAACTCCATAAAAACTTGAGTTAACTTTTACGCTATCGAGAACGTTAAAAAACTCGCACTAAGCAAGCACGTTGTATTGAAAAAAAAAACAAAATAATGTATTTCTATCAAGTAGATACATCAAAGAACTTACGTTATTAAAATTTATTATACAGTTACAAATATAGATTAGGTAGGTAGATAGATTAGGTAGTAATCAGAAGGTACACTGCAAATACTATAATTAGAAACAACATTGTAAGCGCAATAAAATGTTGAACAAGACAATGCAAACTCGCAAACTGACAATAGACTGGACGCAGCTACTTCGCCTCGATCACACTACTGTTAGTCTTTATTTTATTACTCTGCGTTGTATATGTACTTAGGTTTCTTTGTATTACGATTACTAAGAACAAGGAAGTACTTAAGTATATATTTATTTCTCTGAGATAATTTATTGGTAGTAGGACTTCTTGTGAGTCCGCACGGGTAGGTACCACCACCCTGCCTATTTCTGCCGTGAAGCAGTAATGCGTTCGGTTTGAAGGGTGGGGCAGCCGTCGTAACTATACTGAGACCTTAGAACTTATATCTCAAGGTGGGTGGCGCATTTACGTTATAGATGTTTATAGGCTCCAGTAACACCAGGTGGGCTGTGAGCTCGTCCACCCATCTAAGCAATTTATTTATTTATTTAAAACTTAGTCGAAAATGCCATTAACGAATCGAAGTTTTGTATGACAGTTTTGATTGCGTATTTTGTAATTTACAAAGCAATTAATTATATCTATGGTTTTTTTTATGAATGAGGGATTACTGGTGGCCTGGAGACCATTCCAGTTTCACCAGGACAAGTGGGCGAGCAAAGGTGCAGCCAGGAGGGGTGGGATTTGCTAACAACCGCCCGAATTTATATGGTTTGGTCGCTTTAGTTGAATATTAATCTATTAATAAATAGCCATGGCCATCAGCAATAAATTGGGCACAGTCAAGTTGTTGCCTACTACTTAAGACTCAAATTTTGTTATGTTTTTTTCTTTTGTAATAATGTTTTAAAAAATGTTCTTCTCGGGCCGTTAACATTGGCTTTGTTCAGGTGCGACTTAAGTCATTCCATATTCGAATCAGGCGACGGGGCATCACGAAGCCGACGTCGCCAGAAACATATCTTGTCGGTTCCCCCGGATCCACTCTCGGTGCCTTTAGGCTCTTCAAGCACCGCTCAGCGTCTCGACAAGCGAACTAACCGATAGACACAGCCCACTGAGTTTCTCGCGGGATCTTCTCAGTGGGTCGCAAAACCGACCCGGTGGTAGATTCTGCGAAGCACTGTTTTTTTACTAAGGTTGGTGTTAGCAAATTCCTTCACGTTGATCCTGTGAGCTTACCTATTCGTCCGTGTGAATCTGAAATAACGAACCCTTAGGCTACCAGAGAATTGGCAAATGAAAAAAAAAACTCGCCGTCAATTCAGTCGTATGTTGTTCTACTCATGACGATGATAATGATTTATTACTCGCTACGTGTGCTCATTTTTAGCAGTGCATTATAGAGTACTGAATGCATTTACAGTACAACGGTGCATCTATTTGTGTATTACAATGTAATTTTCCATTAAACTATTCGTTCAATGCACGCGGTTTAGATCTATTAGTGGGCTGTGCAGACTAGCGTTTTCAATTGTAATGTCGAACGACATACAACCATGAAACTAGACTTTTTTACGACTTAAAATTCATCAAAAGCGAAACGTCTTATATTATTCGATTACTTAGGAAATTATATTTGTTTTATTACGAAATTTGAGAAAGTTATTAATGTTGTTATTTATTTTTTGTTTACGATCTTTCTTTAATTTTTTCTTTAATGATTTTTAATGATTGTATTAACTTTTGTTGTGTTACTCAAGCACTCACAGCATCTCATCTACCGGGTTTGAATATTCTTGGTAAAAGTTGATTGTACTAAAAATAATTATATGCATAAAATACCTGTGCAATTTAATTCAAATTCATTTTTTCGAACGAAGTACGAAGTTAATAAAAAAAAAATCTACTAGTGTATTAACATTACCTACAATCAGAAACGGGAGAATACGTTTTCCTCTCATATTTGTAATGCTTAGATGCGCGAACGAGCTCACGGCCCACCTGGTGTTAAATGTTTACCGGAGATTATATACTCATGTTAATAATTCAAAGTTTTTTCTTTCTTTTTTTCTTTCGATGCATACATTTACTGGAAAACGTTTATGCATTAGGATCGCATTATTTTTTATTGAAACACTCAAGTTATCCGAACTGTTTGACGCTCGTCTGCAACGACCGAAGTAATTCATTCACTAAAATCCACCGCGCGGCTCACGTGTTCAATCGAGTCGAATCCCAATTACGTGCATTAGGGCGCGCCGTAATGCGGATACCATGAAATGTGCATACAATGCCGCAACGGTATGCAGCGCGAACTATTGTACAGACGATTCGCGGGAGCCAATTATGCGCGAGCATGGTTCATTTATTGGCTTCAATACGAAAACTTTTTTCCTTTATGTCAAATTCAAAGGTTCGTTAGCAGTATCGTGCGTATGATCTATAGATCAGACCTATAAGACCATGATAGGCCTGTTCTTAAGTATGGCACCGAGACATTGGCGGCAACCAAAAGGAACGTGCATACCATTCAAGTTGCTGAAATGAAGATGCTGAGGTGGATGTGCGGCGTGACCAGGCTCGATAAAATCCGCAACGACTACGTGCGTGGAAGCGTAGGTGTACGGGACATCGCCGACAAGATGCAGGAGAGTCGGCTGAGATGGTATGGTCACATAAAAAGGAAGCCACCTGACTACGTCGGAAATTTGGCCCAACTGGTCGACCTCCCCGGTCGAAGACCTAGAAGTAGACTCAAGACAAGGTGGAAGGACGCAGTGCTGAACGACAAAAGAGAATGCAATGTTGCTGACGAGGATATCGAAGACAGAGCGAAGTGGAGGAGTAAAGTGAGGAAAGCTGACCCCACCTCACGTGGGATAAATAGCTGGGAAGAGAGAGAGAGAGTTAGCAGTATCATGCGATGTTGATGTAAGCTGATCTTGTTACTTTTTTTGCGTCTTAACACGTTGACTGCCATGTAGGTCACCGGTGCCCTACGCGGCGCACTGAAGTAATTATTTCGATTTCTGTTATGAAGCGCCTGGATTGCCTAGTTGGACCGAAGTTTCTTATGGGACCTTGCGGAGGGGTACCCTAACCGGGAAAAAACGTCCGTAACGTAAGATTTTTATTAGTAATGCACACAGTGTACGACTTAACTTTGTAATAACGTACAAAAAATAACATATTTTTTTATTATATAATTTTTATAAATCATTGTGAATAAAATAAAGTTGATAACTTTGTACAGTAGTGTTTTTTTTATTTTTATCAATAAAAAAAATCTTAATAAAAAATGTATACCCGAATAATTATTTACTTTATACCTCGAATAGAACTTAAAATTAATATTTTTATGATAAGGAACTTCGTTCTTATCCGGTGTCCCACGACACCACACATCTTTTTTATTTTGCCTTCTTTTGTTTGGTAATGTATGTTTCAGTATTTGAGGTCTGTTAGGAATAGATTTATACTCATTATCTTCGGATTCGCCTTTCTCAAAGTCTACTATATACTCCGGCGCCTTAGTGAGAAGATCGAAGAGAGAAATCTACATAATTACTTTAGTGCGCCGCGTAGGGCACCGGTGTCCTAAATGGCAGTCAACGTGTCAAAAGAATCATGTCGTTGAAAACGAGACTTCAATTCCAAGACATTTCACGTTTCAAATCGGACATGATAAGTTCCAAGAACAATCGATATGGCTATCTGGACAACTCATGACCGAGTAGATAGTCATCTCGTCTACTATAAACAGCAATAAAGAGCGTGGTTACTCAATTACTATATTTAAAGCCCACAGCAATTAAGCAAATTACCGGAAATCTATAGCGCGAGTGGCGTATGGCAAAAGAGCTCCATGTTGCCCTTGAACATTTTGTTAATGCTCGTATGAGCTGTACAAGGACGAAGGGAAGGACTTAGAGTAGCAAATTACCATATAAATCTACGCTTATAAGCAAGGTATATAATATATGGTACTTTGCTATAATCGATGCGGTTCAGCACTATAACCGCGCGGAGGAGTTTTGAGTTCTTTGGACACTACCAGAAAGAGAGGAGAAAATTTAGAAAAGCTGCTGGTAACAGGCAATGCAAGCGGAAGAAGACCCAGAGGCATAAGTCAAGGATAGGCAGGTCCGGCGCAGGATAATCCACGAGAAAGCTACAGGGTGGCCCATAAGTCCTTTGAAAAGTAAAATTTGAATAAAACGAACAGGGCGCGCGTGAGCGGTGCAGGGGAAGCGGGGAAAGTAACTTCGGTTTCTGGGAATTTAGTCGCGATGGAGCGTTTTACCGGAGCGGACCGTGCGTTTTGTGTGCGCGAGTTTTATAAAAACGACAATTCGGCAACCGTTGCGCGGCGTAAATTTCGAGAACACAAAGGTTTACACAACTTTGATGACACTCCAACTCTTCAAACGATTAAGAACTGGGTTGCTAAGTTCGAGGAGACCGGTTCGACGTTAGATAAACCGCGGTTGGNCAACTCTTCAAACGATTAAGAACTGGGTTGCTAAGTTCGAGGAGACCGGTTCGACGTTAGATAAACCGTGGTTGGGTCGCCCAAGGACGTCACGTACGGAACAAAACATAGACACAGTGACACAGTCTATTCGCGAAAATCCGACACAGTCAACTCGTAAGCGCGCCAGAGCATTAAACGTATCCAGGACATCGTTACAACAGATTTTGAAGAAAGATTTACATATGCACCCTTACAAAATTCAGTTGGTTCAAGAATTAAAGGAAACTGACGTTATCCGTCAACTTTTTCCTGGCAAAGTTATCTCTAAGAGAGGAGACATTTCCTGGCCTCCACGTAGTCCAGATCTGACCCCGATGGATTTTTTTTTGTGGGGCTACCTTAAGGCTAAAGTATACGACACAAACCCGCGGTCAATTGAGGCCCTAAAAGAAAACATCCGCAGAGAAATGACAAGCATTTCAGCAGTGACGTGCCGCGCAGTCATCGACAATTTTAGACGTCGTTTGCAAGAGTGCCGTGATCGCAACGGATTACATTTAGGAGATGTTATTTTCAAAAAATAATTCCCGTTTTTTAAGCTTTTTATGTAAATAAAAATTTAATTCATAATGTAATTAGTTTTATTTTAATAAATTTTTTTTCATATCAAAGGACTTATGGGCCACCCTGTATTAAACCAGGCCACAATCCTCAGCATTGAGGATTATCGACGCCAAGAGAACGAGAGAGATAAGCAAGTTGAAATGTTAGACGCTTAGATTGATAACTACAATCTTTTTAAATACTTAGATAGGTAGAACACTTCCCCTTGCGCGTGGTACGACAGTGGCTAACGGTAGAGTCTCTATTGGCGTGTCAGCTCACTCAGCCTAAGCACATCTTATAACAGCTGTTTCAGGGACTGGCACGGGTGTAATTTATTTCGTAATTGAATAGGGCTGTCCATCACTTTAATTATAGATGAGGGTAGTTTTTGAGCCTGGGTGCTCGAATATAGAATTTATACTTTTCATTACATAGACGGGTGAACTTGATTATGTTGCGCCTGGTTACCATTACGCAGGGTCGTCACTGCGAATGTCGCTTCTCGCTTTGAGAGATGGGTTTTAACTTTTAAGTGTCAATTATATAGGATAACGGCTGTCTCTTTGTAGTGGTACATATCAGTGCGCGTAAGGGAAAAAAGTCACCTACCTGATTTCCGAAGGAGGTCTGTAGGCGGCGCTAGTGACGTAGACATCGGACGCGGAGTCGGCCCGAGGCGAGCCGTTCGTTTGCTGGTGCCGCCTGCCGTTCCGGTGGTCATTGCCAGACAGCGACCGGGTTCTTTCGTCCATTGTCTGAAAACGATATCCTTTTTTCTCAATCCAATTCAAAGGTTTCACTACCGTAGATTGGGGGGAATAGGGACTAGGGGTAGAATAGGGACAAATCTGGGTTGTCACAAGGCTTTTGTGAGATTTAAATTTGTTCAATTGAAAAGGACTTTTATTTAGTGTTTATGAAGATTAAACAGTTTAATTTAGTCATCAGAGTTTTGTAACTGATTAATGATATTAAACAGTTAATTACCTAAAGTACCTATCAAACAACTAAACAGTGCCAGCCCTATCGAAAAGTTCTATTGTCCCCATACATGACTCAATCCACCTCAAAAGCCAACGTGAATTAGGTCAAGCTAGTTTTTTAAGTTCTTGTGTATATTTTTCAGTGAACTATGTATAATAATGTATCGTATATGAAAATTTAAACCTCCGGAGCCATTTTAATCTCAGTTTTATTGGTGTTACCCTAAGAAAAACCGCTGAAAATTTGTGTTGGAATTGGAAAGCGTCCCGATTGCCCCCAATCTAGTACTCTATCAGAGCTAAGCAGGCTTAGAATTGGCATTGGCTTTAGTAATTTTACACAATAAGATCACTGTGAATTGAATTTTACGTACATAACGAAAATTTATTAATATTACACCACTTCGTGCTCACATTTCGATGCGAGCGTGTGAAAGAGATGGCGAAACATTGGGAATATTATACTCTTCCTCTACTATTAACCATTTGATAATAATTTTTAGTGCATTTTTCAAAAATAATATTTGCTTTCAATGGTATTTGTCAAATGAAATAAAGGAAGCAACGAACCAAATTATAATAATTCAGCGCACGTAATACTCTACAAATAACTTAGAATGTAAATATATTATCTATACTAATATTATAAAGAGGAAAGATTTGTTTGTTTGTTTGTTTCGAATAGGCTCCGAAACTACTGGACCGATTTGAAAAATTCTTTTTCCATTAGAAGCCGACATTGTCCCTGATGAACATAGGCTACTTTCTAAATTTTTTTTTAATTTTTTTTTTTTGTTTCATGTGCGTTTTAATGTTTCCGAAGCGAAGCGAGGGCGGGTCGCTAGTAGAGTATAGAGATATTCTTGTACATTATAAATGAAAAAAAATATGGCTGTTTTCGATGGTAATAAAGATAGTTACATCGTTCTCCTTCAAGAGCGAGTTTAAAAAACACATCAAATAACATAACTATTATTCGTCGGAGTTCTAACCTTCAGAACGACTACTGAATTAACGTATGCTTTTATTACGACGTTTCTTCTCCAATTTGCTTTTAACGACGCCCTTAAAAACAATAAAAGCTAATGAGCGCATCGTTTTATCGGATCTTTCGTAACCTTTAATTATGTAATTCGGATAGAACAGAAGTTTAAATAGAGATTTCAAAAAACTATAGTGAATCTTCAAAGTATCAATAAATATCGGACAGTAAAACGAATTTCTTCTTCATCTCAATCGTTTGCACTCTTGGCAGAGTGGTCGTGGTCATCAGTTCGGGTGGTGGTGCGTTTTACAAGACGTCGCCATTACTCGCCTACCGCGCCCCTTCTTGTGCAAAAACGAAAAACTAATTCTACTAACTTTTTTTATTTTTTTTATTGCTTGGTTGGGTCGCCATTACTCGCGTACCGCGCCCCTTCTTGTGCAAAAAAGAAAAACTAATTCTACTATTTTTTTTTTTTTTTTTTTTATAGCTTGGTAGGGTGGACGAGCTCATGGTCCACCTGATCTTAAGTGGTTACCGGAGCCCATACAGATCTACAACGTCTACGTCCACCTTGAGACATGAGTTGTAAGGTCTCACTTTTAACAGTACAACGGCTAACCCGCCCTTTTTTTTATGATTGAAGGATTACTGGTGGCCCGGAGGCCTTTCCAGTTTCACCAGAACAGGTGGGCGAGCAAAGGCTCAGCCAGGAGGGGTGGGATTTGCTAACAGCTACCCGAACGCCTCCGAAGGAGACCTAACAGCTCAAGAGCAGCTGTTTCGCGAATGAATCTACTACCGGATCGGAATCGCGATCCGCTGAGAAGATCCGGCGAGAAACTCAGCGAGCGATTCATGGGTTAGGTTGCACGGCGAACTCTTTGTCGAGTTCGACGAGTACGGTTACCGGGGTCCCTAAGCTTGCTCCTAATGTTAGAGCTGAAGGCGTCTAATGCAAAGGTTATTGGATCTGATGGATCAGTAAGGACGTGTCTAGGGCGTCGACGGTGACTGGCTCCTGCATGATCAGGATTCGGGGAGTAGTTAGCGGCGGCAACGATAAGGCGATTATCATGGCTACCCCGCCCGGGTAGGTACCACCAGCATACCTATTTCCGCCGTGAAGCAGTAATGCGTTTCGGTTTGAAGGGTGGGGTAGCCGTTGTGACTATACTGAGACCTTAGAACTTATATCTCAAGGTGGGTGGCGCATTTACGTCGTAGATGTCTGTGGACTTCAGTAACCACTTAACAGCAGGTGGGCTGTGAGCTAGTCCACCCTTCTAAGCAATAAAAAGAAGAAAAAAAAAGAATACTTAACGAAATATGGCTACGGCGTATACTACGTTTTAATCTATATACTATAGAAATCGAATATTTGTGTAGATTTATGATGTGCAGTATGTTCCTTAAAGATACGATTCGGCAGGATAGATTTCGATGAAATTTTTAGGAAATTTAAACTGATTATTCTAGCGAGTGATTCTGTGTGTGAACAATCGGATAAGTAAAAAAATTGGTCGGCAAAGAGAGCCGCATTTAAATCTTTTTCAAAGGAAATTAGTGCTTGGAGCTGAAATTCAATAAAACAAACCATGACGATCTCGAACAACTAAATCACATGCAACAGTTACAACATGAAGAATTCACGTTGATTCATTTTAAGCCTTAGTCAAGAATTTAATTCAATTAAATTTATGAATTTGTTGTAGACATACGTTCTTCGCATTTTACATAACAAAAACTACAGTTTCGGATTGCGTCCTGACAATTCCGTAAATAGCTTTGTCAACTAGGCTCATGTATTAGTTTATTTTCGATAGTTAATGAATGTGATCTCGTAATGAATGCGCTCGGAAATGAACTCCTGTTTTTTCTTAGATTTAATAATGTGTTGTAAAATTTTCACGTGAAATTTTGAGAAAGGCTAGCACCGCTTTTTTTCCCCTATCTAATCTCTGGTAGGTGAGCTCAGCTCTGGTAGCAGAATTTGCTAACACTAGCCCTAGCAAGAGCAGTGCTTCGCAGAATCTTACACCAGATCGGAATCGCGACCCTCTGACAAGATCCCGTGAAAAACTCAGTGGGATTTGCCCTGAACTACTTTTCATTTCAATAATGAAAAAATACTATCCAAATCGCTCATAACATTACGACGATTTAAAAGCGGCCGTGAAGGCCCAATTGTATAATAAAACATTCTTGAATATTCTATAATGATTATGTTTATAACCTACATGTACACATAATTTATGAACGCATTATGTTTCAACAAAAGAACGGTATTTACGTGTTCAGTGTAGAGCGACTTAGCACAGAACTATTGTTGTGTTAAACAAACGGTTTCTATCGGGTTTACAACCGGTTAATTCACAATAAAGTTTGTTTTGATCGGTTCTAAACCTGTACCAAGATGTACAAGTGCGCGCAGAACAATACCGACCGAGGCGGAATGCGTTGTGGTGCAAGCTGAGAGAGACCGCGTTAAATGTGTGTGAATCTCAGTTCGAAATTATTATTCGAATAACACTAACTGTTCCTTTATATATAACTGCTACAGTAACAATAATTTCATTAAAACACTGTAAAAAATATGACATTAATTCTATTATTAATGTTATGTTTCTCAACATCTCGAAATATCAAAGGTTTTCAGTCAAATAAAAGATATTAAATCTCGTTGAAGACATCTCGAAAGCGTAAACACTTAAACACTCTTAAATATATATAATAAATATCTAAGAAAATAAACATTGTTTTACACTTGATTTCAAGTCTTAGTAGCGGGATACAAATGACAAACGAATATGTAATACGACAATACAACACTTGTATAGTTATATGAATGTATACGTACATTTCAGAAGATTTTAAGTATTAATTCCTCACATAGTTTACACCTAGAGGTCGGGTCCTCGGTATTTATTGTTATTTTTACTGATGGTAGGACGTCTTGCGAGTCCGCACGGGTAGGTACCACCGCCCTACCTATTTCTGCCGTGAAGTAGTAATGCGTTTCTTTTTGAATGGTGGGACAACCGTTGTAACTATACTGAGACCACATATCTCAATGTGGGTGGCGGCAGTTACGTTGAAGATGTCTATGGGATCAACCACCGGTAGCCACTTAACACCAGGTGGGCCGTAAGCTCGTCCACCCATCTAACCAATAAAAAAAAAGTTTTTCTTCCTTCTATTTATATCCTGAGTTGTCACACTCACACTGTTATCTGTTAACACAGTTAACTTTTATTTTCATTATTATGCTTAAAATATTCAAAAGATATTTTCAGACAAAGACAACATGTGAAACTAAGGTAAGTGTAGTGTCAATCAAATGTGTAGAGCTATGGATTAATGTCACGTTACACACTGTATTTAAAACAATTTATTTAAAGGCACACGCGTTCTTTTAAACGCTGCTCGCTCGTTCTTTAGGCCAATCTCCGAGCCGCTCATAACCCAATATTAGCTTACATTCCGGTCGTTATGTTTTGTTGCCATTTTAATTGATACGAACGAAACGTACAAACATATTTGATGTATTACCGAAATAAATGTTGGCGGCATCTGGTGCCGGTCCGACGGTGGACTCAAACATTTTCGTGTGCAGTTTTATTACGTAGTTATAGCTATATTAATGTGTGTTACGAATTAAAATGAAAGTAGAGCATTATCTAATCTAGTTGGGACAGGAATTTATTTAATAGGTTGTTTTGGTGTTTTTTTTTTTTTTTGGAAAACTTTAATATTAATTTACTTTTAATTTTTTCAAATATCGTTGTTAAATTGTACTTTTCAACATGCTGCGGATTCGTCACCGTCGTTCGTGATACGAACGCGAAAAACAAAACATTTTTGTTCCATAATAATTCAAAATCATCAAGATTCAACAAAAATAAACACAGCTTTTTTATTCAACTAAATTTTGACATTGACAATTAAATTTGACACTTGAATGTCAGTCAGACTTCTGCCGTAAACAGAAAAAAGACCGACACGGTAATTATAATTCTCAGAACTATTTTTTTTTATAAGTCATTATTGCTTTTATGTTTGTAGGAAATATTTGAATAATCTTTTGGCTGTGGTGTCGTCCTAACATAGCACAAGCACGCATCGTTTCTTATGGTTGATATAAAAGGCCATTTTTATTTATTTCAGCTTCTCCTTGACGTGTAGGTAAGCTCACACCGGAGTGTTGCTAACACTGACCCTAGCAAGAGCAGTGCTTCGCAGAATCTACCACCGGATCGGAAACGCGATCCACTGAGAAGATCCGGCGAGAAACTCAGTGGGCTAAGGCCAGTAAGGGATGAATCGAGAATTACAGGTTACGTTAGGTCAGGACGTTACGTGAGTCCGCACGGGTAGGTACCACCAACCTGTCAATTGGTGCCGTGAAGCAGTAATGCGTTTCGGTTTTAAGGGTAGGGCAGTCGTTGGACTGCAAAAACTGAGACCTTAGAACTTATGTCTCAAGGTGGGTGACAGCATTTACTTTGTATATGTCTATGGGCTCCGGTAATCATTTAACACCAGGTGAGCCGTGAGTTCGTCCATCCATCAAAGCAAGAGTTACAGTCAGTACAGTCAAGTCAGTATAGTTACAACGGCTACCCAGCCCTTCAAACCGAAACGCATTACTGTAAAGCAGGCTGAAATAAGCAGGGCGGTGGTACCTACCCGTGCGTTCTCACAATACGTCCTACCACCAGTAATTACGCAAATTTATCATAAGTATTTTAATATTTTCGCAGAGTTAAAGTATTATAATATTTTAACAGAGGTCGTCGACCCATTTACGCAATATTTTTTTTTTAATTAAAAGTCATATCATAGACTGAAAGGCTGTATGGTTTAAGCGCCATTTTTGCAACTTGACAAGAGAGCCATTTCAAGTTTGAAATTTGGATAAAATATCATGAAAAAAAAACTTCTCAAGCTATTTGAATGGCGTAAACATAATTGAAGTTCGATTAAAAACATCGAATTGTTGATACCACATAATACGAAATAAAACGGAACTTTAATTACGAAAATAAATGTCGCGTATTAAGCGAAATGTCGCTTAAACGAAATAGTCTTTCATCCCTCGATTTAATGATATGCCATAGACACGTCCTCGCGGATCCATCAGATCCAATAACCCTTGCATTAGACGCCTTCTGCTCTAACGCTAGGAGCAGACTTACGGGCCCCGATTATTATACTCGTCTAACTCGGCAAAGAGCTCCACGTGCAACCTAACCCATGCATCAGCCTGCTGAGTCTCTCGCGTTTCCGATCTGGTAGCTTCATTCGCGAAACAGTTGCTCTTGAGTTGTTAGGTCTTCTTTGGAGGCGCTCGGGCAGTTGTTATCAACCCCACCCCTCCTGGCTGACCCTTTGCTCGCCCAGCTGTCCTGGTGAAACTGGATAGGCCTCCGGGCCATAATCATTCAAAAAAAAAAAACAAAAAAAGGTGTGTAATCTTACCGTGTACTCTGACAGCGTCCTCTCCGAAGGTGCTCTGTGGCTGTCGTTTTCATCTCTAGACGATGCTCTGTGCAAATATCCTCCGGATGACGGCGAATCCACACCAGAACGATGCGTGGCTACATAATGGTTGTTCTTCAATTTGTGCGCCATTTTTGTTTGTTTCTTTTTTCTCAATTAAATCACGTCAATGTGACGTACATTTTCAAAAATGGGTCGTTCGAATTTGCTTGTCCGTCATTTTCTCTTTTTTTTTTCTAATTCAATGGTATATTTTTTCATTTAGCCCACATCTGTCAAAATGTTCCAGTTTCGTGATAATTTCGGTTCGTATTTCGATTTCTTTTAATGGGTCAGAATCGATTCTGAAACAAAGAAACAACTATTATTTTATGGGATCGTTAAATTTGGCTTGACCTTTTGCTATCGACCTTGATGCTAGGAGATTTGTGATACAGTAGTGATTGATGTATTGGAATCGTTTTGATCGATTTATAATCTCGATATAATTTACAACAATAAATCATGATTGAAATATGTTATACAATTTTGTTATTGTTTAAATTCAATGTTATAAATAAGTTTCACTTTTATGGTTTAAGCTATTTATTAAAATTGCCATTCTAACGATTATATTTTTCGAAACGTGACTCATAAATCGATATAATCTTTTCTGGTATCGATATTGGTAATAAACGAACAAAAAAACTTGACTGACACATCGGTGTTCATTCGATATTAAACAATGGTGGGAATTTTATTACTGTTTGTAATTCGAAAAAAAAAAGCTTTGAACTCAATTAGGTGTGAATGGCCTGATTTTTTAGTTGGCTTTTAGTAGGTACTAGCGTTTTATCGAATAAATTGCTTCCCATTGGTTTCGCAAACTTTTTGCTTTTATAAAATCGCTCGCTTTCGTAAATATATTTTTGTAATATTGACAATAAATAGAAACAATAAATTTGTTAAATGTATACTATATTTACAGATGGAATATTCTAGACACCTTTAGTGGGTATTGTAATTTTTGCTTATTAAAATTAGAATGTTCTTCTTGTTTGGATTTTATTATTAGTCAAAATAACAGATGAGCCTTTTTCACCCTAATAATAATCGATGAAATGCAACATGATCTTATAGCAAAGATGGCGGTACTAACACATTAGTGATTTCGATAGTGGAACATCTATTCTAAATGTTCACTTCACACATCAAAGTTCCGAAGTAGTCGTGGCCTAAAGGATAAGACGTCCGGAGCATTCGAATCTAGCTTTGCAATAATGTTGGAATCTCGCAGGCGGGTACCAATTTTTCTAATGAAATACGTACTTGACAAATGTTCACGATTGACTTCCACGGTGAAGGAATAACATCGTGTAATAAAAATCAAACCTGCAAAATTACAATTTGCGTAATTACTGACGGTGGTAGTACGGATTGTGAGTCAGCACGGGTAGGTACTATCACCCTGCCTATTTCTGCTGTGAAGCAGTAATACGTTTCGGTTTGAAGGGTGGCGCAGTCGTTGTACTGTAAAACCTTAGAACTCATGTCTGAAGGTAGGTGGCGGCATTTATTTTGTAGATGTCTATGAGCTCCGGTAACCATTTAACATCCGGTGGGCCGTGAGCTCGTTCACCATTCGTTAAGCAATTAAAAAAAACTATATTGTATAACGGTTGTAATTTTAAAATAATATATGTAATCATATAGGTATAGGCAGAAGCGTGATGCCTATCACTGCGGGTTCATATTATGCCCTATGCATACAAGAGCTTTTATGTACATAGTTATCTGCGTCTGCAGTCTACAATTGATGTAAATAGACGGCGTATATACGCTAACAACGAATAAATGCGCAATACTGAGTCAAAAAAACTACAGTAAAAAACGCTGATAAATTAAATTTACGAAAACAATAATTTGTTTACAAGAAACACAGTCTCAGAATGAATGTCAACCCGTACAATATACATACAGTTACATACATACAGTTTATAATCGTTTTAAAATAATAGTGAATAGAACTACGATAATATACCGGAGTATTTCTATACTATAATATTATAAAGAGGAAAGATTTGTTTGTTTGTTTGTTTCGAATAGGCTCCGAAACTACTGGACCGATTTGAAAAATTCTTTTTCCATTAGAAGCCGACATTGTCCCTGATGAACATAGGCTACTTTTTTTAAATTTTATTTTTATTTTATTTTTTTGGTTTCATGTGTGTTTTAATGTTTCCGAAGCGAAGCGAGGGCGGGTCGCTAGTAATTGATAAAGACATTTCGATCGTTTTTATCGATTACATATGAGACTCGATCGCGTGTTTCATTTTTAAATTAATTCAATTCTAAAGTATCAAAAATTGTTTGTTTTTTCCACAATTATGAGACAAATAGTTGATTCAGTGCCATTGTCGCCTCTGTGTGTCCACGAATTTTCTTTTTGTCTAGTAGTAGATGTTCTCAGAGCTTTTTAATTTTTTTAGAGATATTAGATATATTTTAGATTAGATATATTTTAGAGATAGAGAGTTTTAAATTTAAATACAATAAGCGAAATCAAATCTAAACTTTGAAGTGTTTGCGATTACGGTCGAATTTCGATAAATTGTGGAACGCTATTTTGTATTAATCCGACCCTATCATCATGTAACATCATATTCAGGCATTATTTTCGCTCTTTAGAACAATTCGAAGTGTATTGTAATCTTCAATGGCTAAATGAATGATGACGATTGTAAGAATCGGTTGTTCATTAATCGATATGCGTGTGCGACTCGTACATTCTTTTTTTTTTTTTAAATCGAATAATTGCTTTTATCTTTGCTCATAGTTTCCGCAATCGATGTTATCGTGTTACAAACAAGAAAAGAATCGATTGACTAATATTATTGAGTAATCGAGTAATTTGTAATGCAAAACTATTCGAAAGGTTTCGTTCGAATAGAAACAGAACTGAACGGTCATTGTCGTGGATAAAAACTTCGTGTAACGCAATTAGTTTGGAGTGCTAGTGTTGTAGGTACGTCCTGCTGTTTAATCAGTAATCGGTTATCGGGTCGAAGCCTAGGTTGGTCTGGACTCACTGGTGGTAGGACCTCTTGTGAGTCCGCGCGGGTAGGTACCACCACCCTGCCTATTTCTGCCGTGAAGCAGTAATGCGTTTCGATTTGAAGGGTGGGGCAGCCGTTGTGACTATACTGAGATCTTAGAACTTATATCCCAAGGTGGGTGGCGCATTTACGTTGTAGATGTCAATGTGCTCCAGTAACTACTGAACACCAGATGGGATGTGAGCTCGTCCACACATCTAAGCAATAAAAAAAAATATGCAAAATTACACAAAAGTCAGTGACCCGTATATTACCTGATTTAATTTTAATTCAAAATTATAATTTCGTCAAAAAAGGCTGTTGTGCGTAGCATTACTCGAAGTTCGAAGTATTACTGAAACGGCAACGTATAACGCAACGCTAAACCCGTCATTAAAATTCAAAACGACAAAATTGCTATTGGAAATAATTAAATAAAGTATAAAATTTGTGAAGAGCGCTGTGACACCTATAAATTGTTATCATAAGATTTGCAAGCGAAGTAAATTGTCCCTTCGTAATAAGGTGACACTCTATAAAACTTGCATATTCCGCCCCGTCATGACCTATGCAAGCGTAGTGTTCGCTCACGCGGCCCTCACTACCTTAAAACCCCTTCAAGTAATTTAATCCCGTTTTTGGAGGATAGTCGTCGGAGCACCATGGTTCCTAAGGAATGTGGATCTCCATGATGACCTAGAGCTTGACTCAGTCAGTAAGTATATACATCATTGTATATGGCATCATTGCGCCACTTTGAGAAGGCGGCACGACACGGAAAATCCTCTTGTCGTGGCCGCCGGAAACTACATACCCGATCCTGTAGACCGAATGGTAAACAGTCAACGTCGCCCTAAAAACGTCATTACGGATCCTCCCGATCCATTAACGGTGCTTTTAGGTACCTCAAGCACCGGTCACTGTCTTCGCCGAACCCGTCGCTTGCGACGAAGGGTTCGACGAGTAAATTAACCCATAGACACAGCCCACTGAGTTTCTCGTCGGATCTTCTCCGCAGGTCGCGATTCCGATCCGGTGGTAGATTTTGCAAAGAACTGCTCTTTCTAGGGCCAGTGTTTTTTTTTATTATTGCCTTTGTAGGGAGACGAGCATATGGCCCACTTGATGGTGAGTGGTTACCGTCGCCCATGGACTTCAGCAATGCCAGGGGCAGAGCCAAGCCGCTGCCTACCGCTAAAGTGTTAGCAACACTCCCGGTTTGAGCCCCGTGAGCTGACGTATACGTCAAGGCGAAGCTGAAATAGCCTGTCAAGGCTGTCAGCATAAGTACGGAAAAAAAAGATAAATTGTTGAAAATGTTTAATTAATAAAATATTTTTGAATTAATAATTATGAAGATGTCGTGGTCTAAAGGATAAGACATCTGGTGCATTCGTATCAAGCGATACAAGTGGGCCGGTGTTCGAATCCCGCAAACAGGCACCAATGTTTCTAATGAAATACGATCTAATGAAATAAGTTTCACAATTACTATTACTAAATGTGTTAAATACACACTTTTATGGAAACTACATGTGTGCCACTTATAACACGTCCCACGTAGCAGCGCTATGACTTAAGCCTTTCTTGGAATACCAACAACTGTACGATGGTTCGTCACAATCTCGTGAATGGTTCAGAAACGCGTAGGCGATGCACGTCTACATACTTGATACTACGTCTACAGACATTGATTTTAATTTTTTATTCATACATATTATGTTAATAGTTCTATGAATGCGTCCAAGGTTGACCACTTTACGAATTTTGATGGATGTTACTGTAAATTATACATAGTGTCGCTTACAATTCTCAACGGTTAGCGCGACCCAAATCGTAACTGATAAGTATTACTTAGACGCAGTGAATTTTTAATGCGAGATGGTTATGTGCTAAAATGAGCCCATGACCCTCGACTGCTGTATATAAAACCCTATCATAGGGCACAGTTACCTTCACAGATATACAAGGTGAACATTTGAATCTTTTTAGTAACATTCAATAATTTACTGAATTTTCGTGAAACAATTTAAAATAACTTCGTCCATCTGTATTTCCGGTTCGTTATTTTAAATCACTTGTGGGATTTTGACACGATCTTCACTTAAATAATTTAATTTTTAATTTAAGTGAACACTATTGGTGTTTTATATCTGTCCATGTTTGTTCCTACCACCATTTATTTATTTATTTACATGGGAAACCAACGATACAAAAAAAATATATAATATGTATTTAAAAAAATAGCTAAAACAATAATCAAACATATT